AAAAAAAAAAAAAAAAAAAATTAGCCAGGCGTGGTGGCACATGCCTGTAATCCCAGCTTCTTGGGAGGCTAAGGCAGGAGCATCACTCAAGCCTGGAAGGTCGAGGCTGCAGTGAGCTGTGATCACACCACTGCACTCCAGCCTGCAACAGAGTGAGACCCTGTCTCAAACAACAGCAAAAAGAGATAATGTACACAGAGCACTTAGCGCAGCCTGTGGCTCAGCCACAGCACCATCAACACCAGTGAGGTCAGGTGACTCTAGCTATGTGGCCTTGGGCCACGCAACCACTCCTGCTTCCCTTCCCTGGCCTCAGTCTTGGCCCCTGCAGGTGCCAGAGTCAGAATCCAATAGAAACCCTATTGACATGCCATTTGGTTGGAGGTTGGGGAGTGGGCTGGTATTTTTTGATAGGTTTTGTTTGTTTTGAGACAGAATCTCACTTTGTCACACAGGCTGGAGTGAAATGGCGCAATCTCGCCTCACTGCAACCTCCACCTCGCAGGTTCAAGCGATTCTCCTGCCTCAGCCTCCCCAGTAGCTGGAATTACAGGCACCCGCCACCAGGCCCGGCTAATTTTTGTATTTTTAGTAGAGATGGGGTTTCGCCATGTTGTCTAGGCTGGGTCTTGAACTTCTGACCTCAGTGGTCCACCCACCTTGACCTCCCAAAGTGCTGGGATTACAGGCGTGAGCCACTTCACCCGGCCTGACATGCTGTTAGTTTTCTCCTTGCTTCCACGGAGACACAGACCCTCTTGTCCTTCTGTCCATCATTCGTTCAACAAGGACATCTTTGGTACTCAGCCCATGCCTGCCACTGTGCTAAGCCATGAGGTTCGGCAGCAAACAAAACATCCCCCTCCAAAAAACCAAAAAGTCCCTGTCGCCATAGAGGTAACTGCTGGTGAAGAGACCAGCACACCCCTCTTCCCTCACAAGATCTCCATCCTGGGGGAGCGAAGAGGAGGCTCTCTTTGCTCTGCTCTCATGTCAAGGGAAGGGACCTCACCAGGAATCACACACCGGGCACTGCCGCGCAAGGCTCCCCACGAGGGACCTGTGGAACATCCCACCAACCGCTTAGATGCCACTCTCCAAGAGCTCAGAGATCATCTCTGAGTGGGCAAAAATCTTACCTCAAAAAATGGACACACAATCAGATCATTCCTATGAAGCCAGCCACACCCTCTCATCAGGGACCAGGGCATAAGCTCCTGGAGGCATGGAAGCACGGTGGCCAAGCGCCTGGCCTCCGTGTCAGAGGGGCCTTGGCCTCTGTTCTGAATGAGCATGTACTTATCTACATGGAACCCTGGGCACATCACCTACCTCCTGGGGTCTCTAGGAGGGTAGCTTGAAGGAAGCGAGTGTGCTGACCACCCTGTGTGCCGACCACCCTGTGTGCCAACCCTGTGCCTCTGCTCAGGGGCTTCCTCTGTGGGCACTCCTCCTGCCCCTCTGCCATCCTGAATGGAGAATTTCCACGCACTTGCTGAGCCAGGACCTGGCCCAGGAGTCTTCCCTGATGGCCCCACCCTTGATCCCCTCCAGTGTCCCAGCTCCCTGGGCATCCGTCTCTGTCCCACTCTGACGCATCTGCATCTCCCACCAGACTGAGTTGCTCCGCAACCTCACCCCTGGCCCACCCTGGAGATTTAAATCCTTGGAAGATTGCAGCCATCACAGCCCTTCCCAGCCCAGGTGCAGGACGAATGGCTGCTGATTCATTTCAGGTCCCTAATCAGGGAGGAGAGGCTGGCCCCTAATTCTGACCTTAATTACACAGCAGCAAGCTCAGCAGAAACCCTCCCCGAGTCCACCCACTCTGGACAGCAAATGAGCGCATGAAGGACTTCTCTTCCAGGGGCCTGGGCCTGCAACCTGCATCTCTGAAACCTCCCGCTGGGTGACACCTGCCTGAGAATTAGCCCCTCTTGCTCAGTTTGGGGCACCCCAGGAAGACAAAGCAGGGCTCAAACATGCCTCCCCTCACCAGGTTAGTCAGGATTTAAACTCGGGGTTCCAGATGCTTGGGCCATTCATTTGGAGCCTAGACCCCTCCACTGCTTAGGCAAGGAGGCTCTAAGCACCCGGTCCTGAGAGGCCTCAGCTCCCACCACCCCCAGTTGCCCAATTACCCTTCCAACCCAGACGTGACTTGCAGAAGACAAAGAACTGTGATAAAAAGCAAATGCCTTGATTAGGCACCTACCACGAGGCTAAGCATCTTACTCAATGGCCCATTTTTACAGATGAGAAAACCAAAGGGGGACTTGACTGACAAGAGGACCTATGGCCAGTGTGGGGGCCACAGACAAGATGCAGGCCCTCACCCCAACATCCAGGCTCCTAACCACTAGGCTACACTGCCTCTGACAGGCTCGCAGGCACCGAGGGCAGGGTCCCTGACAGCAACTGATATAGGATTGGGAATATTAGCAAGACAAATAGTAACTGCAAAAATAATTACAGTGGGCTGCATCCCCCCACCCTCAAACACCCCCAGTACCCCCCGACTACACACACACACACAGACACACACACACTCACACACACACTGAGCACCACACAGCTGTTCGCTTCTTCAAGACGAACCCAACAGAGGGGGTGCTCTCATTGTTTCCCTTTCACCAGCGAACAGACTGACACTTGGGGAGTTTCTGTGACTCCTCCAAGGCTACACAGCTAGCAAGGGACAGAGGCAGGGTTTGGAGCCAGGCCTGCCTCCTGCTGTTTCAGAGGCTTGTGGGCAAAGTAAAGGAAAAAGTACCATGAGTTTCTGGAACTGACCTCTTCCCCCAGGGCACAGGGCCTCAATGAAATGCTTTCCTCCTTAGCTAAAGACCAGTCGGGTCCTCTGGGCCTCAGCTCCACCCCATCTCCACCCCCTGCCCGGTGTCTCCCCGTTTCCAACCGCCAAAGCAAAGGAGCCAGGTTCACTTACTCTGTGCTGGGTGGAGCAGCCGCTGGGTCTGGGTCTGCAAAAGAGGAGCAGACAGAGAGCCTGTCAGGCCAGAGGCTGGCCCCAAGCACTCAGGCCTTCCCCGCCCCTTTCCCAGCCTCCCCAGGGGCTCCGCAGACAGGGCCTGGCCAGCCTGGGTGCCTGCTGAGCCCCGCCTCCCTCCCCCAGCCCTGGCTCAGTCATCAGCTCCCCTACCTGGCCTGCACCACCCCCACCCACCCCATGGCCCACTTCCCAACTCCAGCCAGAACTCGTGGCAGCCGCCCCGCCTGCTCTGGGCCTGCCCTCCACCCCCAGCTGCTCCAGGAGCCTGCTGTCCCCAAGCCTGCAGGAAGTTCCAGCTGGTCGGGTCCCCAGATTCTCTCTCCGATAACAGACTCTAAGAGCCCAGAAGCTGCCATTTAACACCAACTTAGCAGGGCCCTCCTGCCCCCCAGGGTTGCCAGCTCCCCAAGGCAGACAGGAGAGGGGACCTCTGGGAGGCTGCTCTTCTGGCTGGTGTGGATTCTTTAGGAGAAGCTGCAGGGAGGACTTCAGAGACACGAGCTCTGGGCAGCAACTGTCTCCAAAGCAAAACTCAGGCCAACCACTTCCATTTACAATGTGCCAAAGTGCACCAGATGTTGCAGGAATGCTAGGAATTTCAAATTCCCAAGGGAAGCCATAGACTGCAGCTTCTTCCCACTGGCTTTTCCCTTCCTGCTTTCTGGGGACAGCGGAGGGGCCACCAGGCATCCCTGAGAGCCTGGAGCTTCCGCCAGTTCTCTATGCTCCCTGTAGCCCCAGGACCGGAAGTTCCCAGAAACATCTTACCAGTGACAGGAATGGAGTCGAAGTGGATCAGCGGGGGGTCTGTGTCCCTCTTAGGAGCAAGGCTAGGGACTCCCAGGACTGCGCTGGTGTCCTCTTCATCATCACTGTCGTCAAACTCAAAGGCCTCTCCTGGGTCGTCCTCCGCCTCGGAGGAGGGGCCTGGGGCTCCTGGAACCAGCTGATCTCCTGGAAGAGAGGAGGAGTTGGCCAAGCTGCAGGATCTCCAAAGTTTGGTCAATGGAGAGATGGCTGGGGTAGATGGGCATGGGCTGGAACTGGGTGAGCACTTCAGGTCTGAGCCAGGGAATGAGAGCCATCAAACTCAAGCCACATGGCCCTACAGTGCTGGTAAGGCTGAGGGGAGGCGGTTGGGTTAGGTCTCTCAGCAAGTAGCAGTTGAGGGAGGGAAAGGAGTGTGCTCCCGGGGCGAGCCTGTGCACCTCAGTACTTCAGTGTATATCTTTCCTCTTCTTATTTCCTGTCTCCCTGTTTTGTGAGCAAGGGGTCTTTTTAAATGTGTGTGTATGCATGAGCACAAGCTTATCGTATGTTTCTGTGTTGATTTGTCTGTGTGTTTTGTGTGTGCAAACGAGCACAGACAGGTGCATCCTTCCCACTGCACTTTATTTGGTACGTGCAGCAGCATGAAACACAGCTGCCTAGGAATGCCTGGACTTGGAGGCAGCCTGCTTGCAGGTACTAGGGCACAGACTGACTAGGGCAGGAGAAAGCATCAAGCTCCCAGCATGGAGGTCAGCTCGCTAGGCCTCATCTCCTGCTTTTCCCCTCCTGGGGGACCCCCTTCATGACTATGAATTCCTGTCCTCCTCACCTATTAAAGCTCAACTCAAGCAGAGAGACCCTCCCCGCCTACCCTACTACAGGAGGCGTGGCCTCCCCTTCTCTGCCCCCGCCCCTTGTTCGTGCTCCCCACCAAGCTCGGATCCCTGAGAGCAGACATCTCGCCCGTCTGTCCCCTCTACTGTGGGTCCTGGACTGACCCAGACCAGGAGCTCAGCCGCTTTTGTTAAATGAGTTAAGGGATGAATTCTCTACCCTAGAGGGCACAAGAAGCCATTTCCAGCCATTTCACCCCATGGAGCTTCCCCAGTCCTCTTCCTAGAAGAATTCCTTCCTAAACTCTGGGCTGAACGGAACCTCAGGAGTTCAGTAACTCCATCCCCTACCTTATGCAGACCCTCTGCAAAACCAACAGGCAGTTTGGTTCTGATTTTAAACATCTGCCAAGCTGACCGCCCTCAGCAGTCCTCTCGTGGCACATGCCACACAGCTTACGCATGAGCTCTGTGCTCACATGGCCGTGTCTGAGCTCCCTGCTAGCTGTGTGGTTCTGAGCAAGTCACTTTGCCTCTCTGAATCTTGGTTTCCTCTGCAAACTGGAGAACAGAAACAGCACTTTCCCCATAAGGCTGACATGAACGTCCACTGAGGTGCAGCTTAGGGTTTCTCAGCCTTGGTACCACTGACATTTGGGACTGGATAATTCTTTTTGCGGGTGGGGAGGGGCGCTGTCTTGTGCCCTGTAGGACGATTAGCAGCATCCCTACCTTCTACACCCTACAGGCCAGGGGGACCCTCCAGCTGTGACAACCAAAAATGTCTCCAGACATTGCCCTATGTCCCCCTGGAGGGCAAAAATCACCATTATCAGAACCACTGGGGTAGGTATAGCCCTCAGCACAGTGCCTGTATATGTAAGGATTATGACAGTAACAGCTGTTGCAATTACTGTTCCCCTCCCAGCCTCAGATCCTTGAGGACAAACAGGATTTTCTAGTCCCTGGGTCTGCGGACCCAGCCCTAGCAAATGCTCAATAAACATTAGACGGATGGATGAGTGATGGGTGAGGAGGTGGCTGGAACAGAGAGATGGACAGATGGGCCAGCAGATGAACAGATGGACGGATGGACATATCTGATTCCAACAGTCTCTTGGATTAGAAAAATCCAGTCACTCCCCTACAATGACCTGGAGGTTCCCAAAGCATAATATTTTGGGGGCAGATGTAGGAAACCCCTTCTTCAGTTGCTCAGCTGCAGTGGAAGCCCAGAGCACGCCCTCCCTACCCAGAGTGAGAAGTACCCAACTTCCTCTGAGGCCATGGAGGAGGAGACACAGCTGCTCCTCCTGGGACTTTGGGGACCAGGTCAGCAGGGGTGGACTCCGGGCAGCGATGCGGCCTGTAGAGCCAACTCCTTCCCCAGGTGTCAAGAAACAAGACCTGAGAGAGCCTGAGCTGTGCCCCGGGCAGTTTCCTCATCCAGCTTCAGGATCACCTCCATTTACCCAAGACCCCAGAGACACAGGCAAAGCAATGTGCCCACAGTCAGCAGCTAAGAGGATGGGATGGATTGGAACCCAGTTCCATTCACCCTCCACACCCTTCTACTAAGCCCTCAGACATTCTGCCCTGCGCTGACATAAAGGGCTTGGGTGGGAGCTGGATCTGTGGTTTTCAGATGCAGTTCCCAACCCCTGGTAGCTCGTAAGTTCAATCAGCGGATTCCCAATCAGGATTTCATTAGGTGTTTGGATTGCTTGTTTCAGATGTTTCTAAACATTGTATTCTAATATTAGTAAAATGATATGGGGTGTTCTTTTTGATATTATAATACCAAATAAAATACATTTGGTATTGAATTATTTCAGATGTTTAAAAAATAATGTATTGTGATACTAATGAATTCACCTTGGTATAATTTCGATATTGGTTTTGTCACTTCTGTTTCAGTTACATATACACATTGGGTAGGGGTGTGTGTGTGGGTGTGTGTGGGTGTCTGTGGGTGTGTGGGGGCATGTGTGTGGGTGTGTGGGTGTGTGGGTGTGTGAGGGGTATGTGGGGTATGTGTGTGGGCGTGTGGGTGTGTGTGAGTGTGTGGGCGTGTGTGGGGGGTGTGGGTGTGTGGTGTGGGTGTGTGGTGTGGGCGTGTGTGGGGGTGTGGGTGTGTATGTGGGTGTGTGGGGGTGTTGGTGTGTGTGGGTGTGTGTGGGTGTGAGGGGGGTGTGTGGGGGCATGTGTGTGGGGTGTGTGTGTGGGTGTATGTGGGTGTGTGGGTGTGTGTGGGGGTGTGGGGGGGTGTGTGGGTGTGTGGGTGTGTATGTACACACACATGTACATATGTGCAAAGAATCTTCTGCTCCTCCCTTGCTCCCTCCACTCCAGTCACATTGATCTCCTTCCTGTACCACAAATGTGCCAGGCATGCCCCTGCCTCAGGACCTTTGCACTTGCAGCCCCAGGGCCTAGCACGTTCTTCCCGCGAGTATCTTCTCCTGCTCTCCTCTCTTTCAGGTCTTTACTGCACATCATCTCTCTGCATGCTGTGGCATCTCTACTGCACGCTGCCGCAGAGACCTGCTGAGACTCCCAGTTTGTGCTGCCTACTTTACCTTTCTCTATGGCTGTTGTCAGCATATGATGCTATATGCTATTTATGTTGATGTCTCTCTCCTCTACTCAAATATAAGCTTCACGAGGGCAGGTATTTTTGTCTGTTTTGTTTGCTGTTGCATCCTCAGCATCTAGTGCAATGTCCAACATATAGTAGGCACATGATAAGCGTTTACGAAACACACACACACACACACACACACACACGCACCTCTGTTGTCATGTCTATGGGTGGCAATTTTCAAAGTTTAAAACACAGGCTGGGTGCTGTGGCTCACACCTGTAATCCCAGCACTTTGGGTTTGCGTGCCTGGGGCAAGAGGATGGCTTCAGTTCAAAAGCTTGTGACCAGCCCAGGTAACATGGTGAGACCTTGTCTCTACTAAAAGTGAGACAATTAGTCGGGTGTGGTGGCATACACCTGTAGTCCCAGCTACTTGGGAGGCTGAGGTGGGGGGATCGCTTGAACCCAGGAGTTCAAGGCTGCAGTGAGCCATGATTGTGCCACTGCACCCCAACCCAGGTGACAAAGCGAGACTCTGTCTCAAAAAAATAAACAAAAGTAAAAATGTTTAAATAATTTTTAAATCAGCTGGGTATGGTGGTGTGTGCCTGCAGTCTCAGCTACTCCAGAGGCTGAAGCAGGAGTTCAAGGCTGCAGTGAGCCACGATCACACCATTGTACTCCAGCCTGGGTAACACAGCAAAATCCTGTCTCAAAAAAATTTGCTTAAATTCTGGAATAAATGACCACAAAGTCCCCACCCACTATTTTGGGGGTACCAGATACAGGCTCATCCTGACTTAAACAGGGCTTTCTTAGCCTCTCAGTGCCCCCCAGTCGTTGCCCGAGTGAATCTGCTGGGAGTGGGGGTGGGGGTCTCCCTTTATAAGTGAATGGTGTCACTGCAGTGACTAAGGTTTTAGAGTCAGACCACCTGAGTTCAGCTCAAACTCCAGCTTACCAGGTACCAGCTGGATGAGTGTCGGGTTATTTGACCCCCTCCCAGTTTCCTGATCTGTAAAATGAGGACAATAATAGCAACTACCTCACAGGGTTGTTGGGAGGATGGAATGAATGAACATAAATAAAGCACCTGGTGCAGGGTGTGTGCTCACCAAATGTTAGCTGTTCTTACGATGATGATTCTGCTTTTCATTATCACCATCGTTATATCATCACTGTCATATTATTACCACCATTATCACTGTTATTATTATGATTTCAGCCTTGTCATAGCCCAGTCCCTGCTGCTGGGTGAGAAGGGCAGTCCTCTCCAACTCACAGGCCAAGCCCAGCCTCAGGCAACCCTGAGGCAACCTCCAGCCATGTCTAGAGACTCAGGTCACTTCTACACCTCCTTTTTTTTTTTTTTTCTTTTTAAATGAAGCTCACTCTGTCACCCAGGCTGGAGGACAGTGGCATGATTACGGCTCACTGCAGCCTCGACCTCCTGGGCTCAAGTGATCCTCCCACCTCAGCCTCCCAGGTAGCTGGAACTATAGGTATGCGCCACCACGCCCAGCTAATTTTTTTTTTTTTTTTTTTTTTTTTTTTTGCATTTTTTGTAGAGACAGGGCTTCACTGTGTTGTCCAGACTGGTCTCAAACTCCTGAGCTCAAGCAAGGCTTCCCAAAGTGCTAGGATTACAGGCGTGAGCCACTGTACCTGGCCTACACCTCCTCCTCCCTGTAAGAGTACAAATAGCGGCTGGGCGTGATGGTTCAGGCCTGTAATCCCAGCACTTTGGGAGGCCGAGGCGGGCTGATCACGAGGTTAGGAGATCGAGACCATCTTGGCTAACATGGTGAAACCCCATCTCTACTAAAAATACAAAAAATTAACCGGGCATGGTGGCAGGCACCTGTAAGTCCCAGCTACTTGGGAGGCTGAGGCAGGAGAATGGCGTGAACCCAGGAGGCAGAGCTTGCAGTGAGTCAAGATCGCGCCACTGCCCTCCAGCCTGGGTGAAAGAGCGAGACTCCATCTCAAAGAAAAAAAAAAAAAAGAGTACAAATAGCTTCAGTTACCCATGCATGCAGTGAGCAGCTCCCAGCATCCAGTGGGCAGGGAGAGGGAATGAGAGGTAAGACACAGTCCTGGGGTCCGGGGGTGGACTGTGAGCTCCCCTCTGGAGTTCACTGTGAGGCTGGCAGTACAGAACCAGCAGGAGAAAACCTAAAATCTCAGAGACTGAGACGGTGCCAAGAGGAAGGGGCTGGGGCTCTCTGGGGCTTCAGGAAGGGCTTTGAGGATGAGGCTGCCCTTGCACTGAGCCTTAAAGGATGAGAAAAGGCCTGACAGGCTGCAACTAGGGTGTGGATTCCAGGCAGAGGCCACAGCAAAGACAGAGAAGAAACACCAAGGGCCCCAGGGGCGCTGAAGATACACGCAAGGATGAAGAAGGTCACTAGACAGTTGACAAGGTGCGTGCAGGAATCCCCTACTCAGGAATTTGAATTTAGTTTGGGAAGGTAATGGGAAGCTCTCAGAGAATGAGGAAATGGTAAAGAGCTGGGTTTACCCAGATGATACTAGCCAGCAATATTAGAAAGAGCTGGAACAATAAATATTTGTCAAATGTTTGCTGAACTGAACAGAATTGACTTAGTCATAAATTTTTTTTCTCATTCCCCATGTTCAGGTTCAGGCCTCTTGGTGGGGAGGGGAAAGGGAACAGATGCCCACGACAGCAGGGGCGGGATGGGGCAAGGCCATGGCCATGCATGCTGGGACCCAAGTCCCCGTTGTGAATTGGGAGGTGAGATGTGCTTGCCCCTAGGCCCCCTTCTATCCTCGCCCCCAGGCAATCAGGCATTGCTCCTTATCAGAAGGAAAACTCAGGAGGCCCAGCCCAGCCCAGCTGAGAGCTGCAGGAAGCCCTTCCTAACCGCCTGCACGGGTGGTGCAGCCAGAGCTAGTCACTCATGCCTCTGATGTTCCTGGACACACCGGGTCCTTGTGAGAACCAATACAAGCAAGTCCAGGAGGCGGGGGACCCTGGGAAGCCACCCATCGCCACAGAGAAGACAGGTCCGCTGTGCTGCTCCCCACCCCCACCCCAGAAGAACCCCGAGGCTCAGGGAAGAGGAGATTCGTCATTTGGCTCTCCCAGGGGTGCGGGCACGTACTGTCTGTCCTGCTGACACCCACGATAATAAGCACTCCCATCTGTGAGCAATTGATTACCCCATACCCATGCCTGACAGATATTTCAACCTTGCAACAGCCCGGGAGAGGGTGTCATTGTCCCCATGTTTACTGATGATGAAACTAAGCCACAGAGACAACATGTCACTTAACCAACCCCGCAGTCTAAGTAGCAGGGTCGGGATTCAAACTCAGATGGGGCTGATGACAAAGCCCTCACTCGTTACCATTTGCAATTCTGCCTCTCTCGTAGTGGTACAAGAGGACAGGAAGCTGCCGCCGTGGGTGAAACAGCCCTGGGCCCAGTTCCTCCCGGGCGGGGCCTGGATTCCACCTGCAGCATCTGAGGCCCCAGTGCCAGGGTTGCCAAATGAAATACAGGACACAGACTTGAATTTCAGATAAACAATGAATAATTTTGTTAGTATAAGTATGTATTTTTCTTTTTTTTTTTTCAAGACAGAGTCTTGTTCTGTCACCCAGGCTAGAGTGCAGTGATGTGATTTCAGCTCACTGCAACCTCCATCTCCCAGGTTCAAGTAATTCTCCTGCCTCAGCCTCTCAAGTAGCTGAGATTACAAGTGCCACACCATACCCAGCTAATTTTGGTATTTTTGTAGAGATGGGATTTCACCATGTTGGCCAGGATGGTCTTAAACTCATGACCTCAAGTGATCTGCCCACCTCGGTCTCCCAAAGTGCTGGGATTACAGGCGTGAGATACCAGGCCTGGCTGTATTTCTCTTTTTTTCACTCAACATGGCAACGCTACTACTGTTCGATGGCCTGACCCTATGGTGCAACCCTCTCCCCCAACCTCAGTTCCTCACCCCTGATTTATAAGCTTCAGCCTGAGACCCCCATGTGTTCACCTCTCCAGGGGATCTCAGGGAGACAGGAAAAGGATTGACCCTTGCCCAGAACCTCCTCCGTGAGCAGAAAGTTACTTCTATTTTGTAGACAAGGAACATGAGGCAGAGGACGCGGCCCAGGCAGGGCCAGCAGCCAGCAGAGCGGACTTCCCACCCGGCACCACGCCGCTCCAGAGCAAGGCCCTCCGCTGGCCCCTGCGGCCCCGTTCTAAGAAGGAATGAGAGGGACAGGAAGCCCTAGGTACAGTACCTATGGCAGGCTGTGGAGGAGGGTTGGAGGAAGCCATCAGACAAGGTCCAGCTCAGACCAGCACTGTCCCAGCTACACACCTGTGGAAAGAAGACCAGAAATTGCATTAGCTGGAGTCAGGGCTGCAGTTTCAGCCACGGAGACAAGTCACTGGCTCACAACCTGTGCTTCAGTCCGGTGGCTCTCAGACAGATATTTCTGGGCAGCCCTAGAAAGGCCCCAGCCTCCACCCTTCATAAATCATTAACCCATAGAAACACCAGCAGCTGTGCAGCCCAAATCCCTGCAGCCACAGACCTTCCTGTTGCCAGTGCCAAGGGACCTGCTGGGTGTCCCTCCTCATCCCCTCTAGCTTACAGGTGAAGCTCTGGCCCCAGAGTCCAGGGTCATGCTCAGTCCCCCACCTTCCAGGAATCAGATCATGCCTGACTGTCATAAATGGGGCTGGCTACTTCCTCCTCCTGGCTGCCCAGGAAGCACGGGCTCCGCTCCCTAAGGTCTGCCTGCTCCTGCCAGTCCCTTCCTGTGGCCCTGCTGAAGGCCACTCTCACTCTGCCTTTCCCTGTCCCGCCCCATGGGTTGACCAGCAGGCAGGAGGTAACCTGGCCTTGGCACATGAGTGTGAGGAAAGCAATGGCTCCAGAGGCCAATGGCGAAAGACAGGGACAGAATCCCAAATGCTCAGCGTGGAGGCACAGTTCCTCCTGCCCCAAGGTGGCACCGCCCTCCCCTCACAGTGGGAGATCACATAACCAAGAGGCCGACACCTCCGCCTCCAGTGAGCTTCCTGGGCCCTGGAGCCAACCCTGCCCCAGCTCCCTACTGTCACCTTCAATTGTGCGCTGGGTGCTGTCTTCCTAGACATCCTGTGGAGGAGGAAATGCACCCTGGAGGGAAAGCAGCCAGCCCTCTGGTCTAATCTGCCCAGGCCACAAACTGGCTGTGTTCCTGTTTTCGTTTCCATTCCTAAAGGCTTTATTTTTATTAAACTGCCTTACTAAACAAAAATGAAATGCAGGTTAATGGCAATATTAGTAATAGTAGACATTCTTGCATTGCCAACGACATCTCAGACATAATTTTAAGCTCTTTACAAATATTAACATCTATTAGTCCAAATTATAAATGAGAAAATGAGACCAAGAATGGTTAAGTAACTTGCCCAAGATCACAAAGGTAGGAAGAGCCAGGGTTCGAACCCAGGCCATGGGGCTCTGGAGTCTGTGCTCAGAAGCAGCCACTACACTCTAGCACCTTTCAAGACTCAAACGATACAGCAGGTAGACAATGAAAAGTTAGTCTCCAGGCTGGGCGCGGTGGCTCACTCCTGTATCTCAGCACTTTGGGAGGCCAAGGTGGGCGGATCACGTCAGGTCAGGAGTTCGAGACCAGCCTGGCCAACATGGTGAAATTCCATCTCTACTAAAAATACAAAAATTAGCTGGGCGTGGTGGCACATGCCTTTAATCCCAGTTACTCAGTAGTCTGAGGCAGGAGAATCGCTTGAATGTGGGAGGCAGAGGTTACAGTGAGCCAAGACCGTGCCACCGCACTCCAGCACTCCAGTCTGGGAGACAGAGCAAGACTCTGTATGAAAAAATTAAAAAAAAAAAAAAAAAAAAGTCTACCTCCCATCCTTGTTGCCCTAATCCCACAGTCCCTCAGAAGAGATGACTGTTACCGACTTCTCAAGAATCCTTCCAGAACTTTCCCATGCATGGGCCAACTTGCATATCTGCAGATACGCCTTGTTTCATACAGAAGGAGCACACAGCACCCACTGTGCTGCAACTGCCTTTTTGACTTAAATCTCTGTGACGATTTCAGAATACTACTAATACATAGAAATTGACCCCACTTTTTTTAACAGCTGCATAGTAGGTTTGGTTTTGCTTTGATGTAGGTGTTTTTTTTTTCGGGGGGGGGTTAATTTATATAGCCCCCATCGATAGGTACTGAGGCTGCTTTGGTCTCTGTTTCCCAGGTTGGAGTGCAATGGCACAATCACGGCTCACTGCAACCTAGAACTCCTGGGCTCAAGTGATCCTCTCGCCTCAGCCTCCCCAGTAGCTGGGACTACAGGTGCACACCACCATGCCTGGCTAATTTTTTAAAATTTTTTCTAGAGATAGGGTCTTACTCTGTTGCCCAGGCGGGTCCCAAACTCCTGGGCTCAAGCCATCCTCCCTTCTTGACCTCACCAAGCGCTGGGATCACAGACGTGAACCCCGACGCCTGCCTGCATTTCTCACTGTGACTGATGATACCAGTTACTCTCTGCTAAGCGTGTGACTGTGCCTTTTAGATCCACACTGAAAACTCTCAGGACTAAACTGGTACTTCAGCAAAGGGTTTTGGAAAGCAAACTAATATGTCTGCAAACCCCTTTGCAACTTGAAAGATCAAACAACAGCTGTACAGCTGTCCTGCTACACAGCCCCCTCCCAGTGGGCTCATTCAAAACCCCTGAAGTCTGCTCGGCCTTTCTCTGAGGGCTCTGGTGCCCCAAGAGCTCCAGGAGGGAAGCGGCAGAAAGACCTATACCCATTTTACAGAAGGGAAAAGGGAGTCTCTTTGCCCAGTCTCCTGCCCAAATTGCTCCTTAAATACAATTTGATGATACAGAAAGAGGCAGCTTCTTTACCCTGGGGCCAAAACCTAGGATCCTTCCCTCCCAGAGCAGAAAGTCCAATGTCCTCCCCTTTCTTCACCCTTCGGGGCCGATTCCTGCCCTCCCCTCCAAGCGCAAGGCTTTCCCTAGAAAGGAAGAGAGACACCAACATGTATGAAGCCTGACATTTTATTAGCATTATTCCATCTAATTCTCATAACACCCCAGCTTACGGATGAGGAAGCAGAAACTCAGAGAAGCAAATATTTTTCCTAGGTCACAGAAGCAAGAGGACAAGGTGACCATACTAGGATTCCAGCCAGCGAGCACTGACCCTAAAGCCTAATCTCAATCCTCTGATCACACTGCCTCCCTAGCCTTTGGGGCTGGAATCTGGAAGGTGTTTGCTACAGACTAATGCGGGGCTCTGAAGTGTCGGGACAAGGACACAGGCCAGCAAGCCCTGCCCGTACTCATAGACCTATGGCCACCATTTTGCACACACAGGCTGCTAGTCTCAGAAGGATGTGGACAAGGGAGTGGGGATGGCTCACAGAAGCCCACTGCCACCACTACAGATCCTCACAGGGTTAGAAAAGAGTTCAGGGTACCCGATACCACTAAGGCTCCACTCAGCAGCTATGAGACCTTGGATGAGTTAATCCTACCTCTGGACCTCAGTTTATTCATCTGCAAAATGAGGATTAAAAAGTACTCACTTCAGGCCAGTCATGGTGGCTCACGCCTGTAATCCCAGCACTTTGGGAAGCCGGGGCAGGCAGATCACTTCAGGTCAGGAGTTTGAAACCAGCCTGGCCAATATGGTGAAACCCCATCTCTACTAAAAATACAAAAAATTAGCCAGACATGGTGGCGCATGCCTGTAGTCCCAGCTACTCAAGAAGCTGAGGCAGGAGAGTCACTTGAACCTGGGAGGTGGAGGTTGCAGTGAGCCAAGACTGCACCACTGCCACTCCAGCCTGGGCGACAGAGCAAGACTCTCAAAATAAATAAATAATAACCATTCTCATCTTTTTTTTTTTTTTTTTTTTTTGAGATGGAGTCTTGCTCTGTCGCCCAGGCTAGAGTACAGTGGCGTGATCTCAGCTCACTGCCACCTCTGCGTCCCAGGTTCACGCCATTCTCCTGCCTCAGCCTCCTGAGTAGCTGGGACTACAGGCGCCCGCCACCACGCACGGCTAATTTTTTGTATTTTTTAGTAGAGACAGGGTTTCACGAACCGTGTTAACCAGGATAGTCTCCATCTCCTGACCTCGTGATCCACCCGCCTTAGCCTCCCAAAGTGCTGGAATTATAGGCATGAGCCACCCGCACCCAGCCCATTCTCATCTTTAAAAAGAGAACTAACACAAAAGCATCATGGCGTGTCAGAATCAGAAAGTAGCTCCAATATGGCAGTGTTGCTCTTGCTCTTGCTTTACAGACGTGGAAACTGAGTCCAAAGGAGGAGGACACTGCCCGCAGTGCTGTCACCCTCCAGGTGGTGACAGCAAAGGCCATGGTTAGAGGATAGGATTTGGTGCCAGGATGATTCAGGTACAAATCCCAGCTCTGCTACTTGCCACAGCAGCAGTTAATTCCTTTCTCACTGGGACAATGGGAGTAAGACCAGCACCTGCCTCCTGAGCATCCTGTGCTCATGAAATGAGGACCCACCGGTGGGTGTGACGAATTCTACACTCCATGCCCTGCACGGAGTAAGCTCTGGGTAGACAGGGACCTCTGTTACCATGGGGACCCTATCCAGGCTATGTTTGGGGGGTGAGGTTATAGCAGATTGTCTTCTCTTGGAGGTCATCTTTTTAACAATGACCGCCAAACCCAAGGGACAGGCGGACACCGAACAGCTCCCGTTCCTGCTGCTGTGTGGAATGGCTGAGGAGGAGGCAGCACTCAGACAAGGGAGGAAGAGGCGAGGCCCCAGCTCCCAACTGCAGGGTATGCCCACCAGAGGCCCGGAGCAGGTTAGGCTCAGTGACAGGCCACCCAGAGCAGCCCGGCACTGGCACCTCCCGCTGCCCTCAGCTGCCCAGCCCATCATAGCAGGTGTCTTCCTGGCTTGGCTAATTTAGTCAAAGTGCTTATCAGTTCGCCTCCCTCTAGGGTTCAAAGACCATCTGCCCAGAGGCCCCTCCAGGAAACCTTCCTCCTGCCTGCCCCTGTCCCACGCTGGGCCCCCCAAGACTATCTCCCACCCCTCACCCATCAAGCTGCCCCATCCCTCTTCCACCTGAATGAGGCCTGGAGGAAGAAAACACCTGGGGGCCCTGAAAGTCTGGAAGGCTGAGCAAGTCATGCCTTGAGGACAGGGAAGGCCGGCCTCTCTCTCCAACAAGGTCCAGGCAGAAGCAGGGGAAGCAGCAACTGGGTTGCTGGGCTGAGCTGGGCAGCGGCCACCCAGCCCTGCCCAGAGAGAAACAAGAATCGGTTCTGGCCCAGGCACCCTTG